CCAACAAATCTGAAAGTTGCTTGGGTGTGTGACCGGTGATGCAATCTCAGGAGGTGCCTGGCATGTAAGCACACATGAAGATTCAGCACGAGTAAAAACTCACAACCTTCCAGTAAATGTACTAATTCCAGACACAAAATGGACTGCTTATATTCTATTACTTGAATACGTTATATGAATAATGAGAAAATACTAAAAAGAAATATTCAATTTCTGCATGTCTGCTGATGGCCACTGAGAGCACAAAATGAGTGAAATCAGAACTCCCTTATCTTAACTGAAGATAGATGGGGCATTAAGGCTTTATAAGAAATATTTCCCATAGCCTAACTCAATTTGAACGCAGGACTACAAGGAAGTTCAGTGAGGTGTCAATGGAATTTTATGTTTTTAATTTTCTCAGTTTTGAAATTGCCCAAAGAAACAATTTAACTGCTATGCATGCAATAGTTTGAATACTTCCAACTGGGCTTTTAAAACACACATTTTACTAAATGAACAGGGTAGGAAAAGAGTGGCTATCCTGTACATTTTAGTTGTAGTGTTTGATTGGTAACAGCATAAATTTTTGGCCATTTACTTACTCTTTTTATAAGCTCTTACTCTTTTTGTAATTTTAATAGGAAAAAGACTTTAAAAGTGAAAATCTAGACATCTAAAATTAACAGAATATTGCTCAGATTCCATAATCATGCTTTAGTTCTGACTCTATGGGCAGCAATCCTTGTGTGTGATAGCAATCCAAGCATAGGAAATGCCATTACCAAAAATATGTTCTGCTAAGATCTGAGAAAATACAGTTGCAGTGACAAACCTTTCAGGTGCTAATCTCTTCCACTCAAAGTACAGGCAGTCAGCTCTGCCAAGACTTGTCCCAGGAAAGTCTTCTAGTCTTTTTAATATTGCTTACCCCTTCTGACTACCTGAGAAGTATCTCTTCTGAGTAGCAACTCAGAAAAAAGTGTAAATTTTTTCACATCTGAGCAATTTTGCTTAATAAAGCAATTCTTTAACTTCTCATGTCTAACTGGTGTGAAAAATCACAGAGATGATATCCAAAGAGAATTTGGACTACATGTGTGAGAAGGAGACATTTTAAGGGAGTGGATTTTCAGCCTTTACTGTACTTCCACTTCCCTGCTAGAATAACTAGTGTTCTTTTCAACTGAGAGTTTAAGTGAAATACTATAGACTGTACTTCAGGCACCCCATGGGTTAACTTGCTATTGTAGTTATTCTTTGACCAAAGTTCTGTCTGATATATTTTGCTAAGTTGTCTAAATCCTGCTGTAGTATTGATTTCTCCCTTTAAAAGCTCTCACCCATTCAGTAAGCTCCAAGGACCCCTTGTCCCAGCTCAATTCACTCTAAAATGCAGCTGGGATATGTTATTCCTGACACCAGTATTACAGTTGCTAACTGATGTTAGAGATATAAGATGGTTTTAGAAAAAGAAAAGGAAATGTTTCTTCACCACAGAGAAATATACAATACTCCTTAGAACCCTTGGGTAACTGTTTTGCTCAAAGAAAGAGACTTTCTTTTTCTTATTCTATTGCTTCTGGTTTTTCATTTATTGGGCACTTAACAGTAGCTACATTGAATTTATTAAGAGGACAGTATTGCCATTGTAATCCCAAGCCTGCAGAACTACTACAAGTAATGAAAAGACACAAGTAAATGCATAGAAAAAGTAAACTAGCCATCCAGGCATCATGGTCCAGAGGTTCTCTTCTCACAACAGGAGTCTGCCAGATAGGTTCTACATCAAGTCTTTAAAATTACCTTAAAATTTTCACTGTTAGCATTAAGCAGAATTGAAGGTTTCAGAAATTTCAGTCAAAGAACATACTCACTGAGGGGCCAGTCTTGAAAATAGCTACTCACAAAATGAAAGATTTTTGATAAATATGTCCTCTGAAACTGCATCCTTAAACCCATTCTTGTTTTTTTCTGCTTTGCTGTCCAGTAAGTATATATCTTTAATTACCCCCATTTTCTTCAGTTTAATTTCAGAGAAGAAAGTCTGGTGCTGGAAAAAAACACTTATTATGGTTCAGTATCACTGCTTCTTAGGCTAGCTTAGTCAGTTATTTTCTTCTATTATAATGCCAAATGTTATTTAGATTTCAGTCATTTAGTAATGGTACACTGAACACATCAAGGATTCTGCAAAATTCCATACCTAGTAGCTGCCTCTTCATTTTCATAATAATCACATATTGATATCCTTTTTTCCTCAAAATTACACACACTGTTATTTAAAAAATATCGTAGTGTCTTAACACAGTTAAAGAGATTATGGTGCAATGAACAGCAGTCTTCAAAAACATTCTTTCATTTTATTAAGATACAGGAAATCTAGTTAAAATTCTTTCAGCTTATAAGGAACCATAAGGAGCTTTGAGATGTAGAGCTTGACACTAACTTTTTAACAAACTCCCTTGGAGCTATCATCTGCATTAGTGAAGATATTTAGTTAAAGGTAGCACCCTACCCT